CAGAGCCAGGGTGACGGAGACGGGGCCACACACAGAAAGCATGCAGCACTGGGCCTGACGCATGGCAGACGGTGGTAGTTTTTCTTCCTACCAGGTTCCAGGCACTGGGCTGTACCTCTCATAGCAATCGATTCTGGCTATCCACTTTTCACAACCAGTGTGGTAGACATGGTTATTCCTATGTACCGATATAGGACTGAGTTCAGAGTTTACTCAGCTGATATGTTATAGAACCAAGATATTAATTCAGGTCTGCCAGACTACAAAACCCGTGGCAGATGGTGGTAGTTTTTCTTCCTACCAGGTTCCAGGCACTGGGCTGTACCTCTCATAGCAATCGATTCTGGCTAGCCACTTTTCACAACCAGTGTGGTAGACATGGTTATTCCTATGTACCGATATAGGACTGAGTTCAGAGGTTACTCAGCTGATATGTTATAGAACCAAGATATTAATTCAGGTCTGCCAGACTACAAAACCCAGCCTCTTTCTTCTATACAAATTGGCTCCTGGCAATTATACGGAGACTCTACAGCCATATGTTAAAAATAAGTTATCATTTTCTTTCTCTTCCGTCCTCATGTAAATGCATGTAACATTTTAAAAAGGCATCTTGGGGAAGAGGGCCCGGAACTGACTGAAATGAACCCCCTGACTGCTTGACCTAGCTCAAAAGGAGAGAAGTGGCACTTCTTAAGCAAGAACAGCTGCTAAATGGTAAAACAAAAGCTCATAGAAATCTTTCTCATACACAGGTTGCCAAAAGGAAGAAAACCATTTTTTTGAATAAAAGCATTTTTCTGCTTTCTTTATTTAAAAAAAGTGCTAATTGAACTAATTTAAAGTGAGAATTACTTTATTGCTTCCTCACAGCTAAGGCCTGTGGAGAGTTGGGGGAGATGCTTAGGGGACTCCGGGCCGATGGCAAATAGTATTTGGCCCTCCTTGAAGATGTGGGGCCTTCATCTTTAAATAAGCTCTATTAGCACTTTTGTCTTTCCTGTTCTTATCAAAAGCTTTTCCTTATGGAAAAGATTTCCAGAACATCCTTGGTTATGCCAGGATACAGAATTTCCCAATATAGCCAACAGAAAACACTGATGGCCCTGCTAGATGGGAAACTCAGCTAATATTGTATTTTCAGGGTCCCACTTGGATTAATTAACACAATAAAATGCCTGATTTTACCGGATGAACACCATCTGTCCACAGGTATTAACCACATCTGTCCAGATTATGCCAAGCCCGAGTCACCCTCCCAAATCATGCTGAGTTTCTGGGTCACCCAGCATCAGAAATTGGACAGATTGGATTAAAAAGCCCAACTAAAAAGTAGGCATGTGGTAAAAGCTCTTGCATGATGGGAATTAGAGGAAGATAGCCAAATGGCTAACATGGTCTCTGGGCTAGTTTTTAGATAACCTTTGGCTTCCTCTTTGCCTGAGGAAGACTGTTGTTTTAAGGTCTGGGGAACTAGACCCCGAAGGCACCCCTAATTGGGACAGCCTCTGTTCACTCAGTTGTTTGCATTAGCATTACAATGTATTTTTTGGGACTCTTCCAACTGAGCTCAAAGGAAGCCTCTCTGGAATGAGCTGCTGGTATGGGGATGGTGCAAACAGCTGTTCCCAGCTCTCTTCTTGCTGTGATGTGCAATCTTTCCTAGGTGGTCACATCTACTTTAATGGACTCACTTATCACCTCTTTCTGTAGTTGTCTCAATCTAGGGCCTTTGAAACCCTAAGGTCAGGATTTTTCAGAATTTTAAGAAACCTAACAAAAATAACACATTTCTGACAATAAGGTTGTTGGAGCTAACAAAGACTCCCAGATTCTTTGCTTCGGGTAGAAGTGTTATCAGCTTGGTGAGTTAACATTTGTGGTTACAGGCCAATCGGAAGCTTTGATAGCTGGGTATGGAGGCTTTTAATTCAAGAAGTATGGAAGTCGATTAAATATCACTGGATATATATGGTGTGTTAGGGACAGAAACCTTTCAAATCACAGGGTCCGTGGGCGAAATTTTTTATAGAAGACTCGTGATAGAAGAATGGGCATCACAGACATACATTGCCAAATGTGCTGCCTCCTGCCTTGATACCTTTCCTATGAGTCATTGTCCCATTTACCACTGCATAGTCCATGCACCTTCAAACAAACTGTGTGTTTCCAAAACTGATATCACCTTTCATCCAAATCAGCTCCGTCTTTTCTGTTACCCATACTGTTTAATGACATCACCATAGACACGGACTATTGTATTTGCTAATTTGTTCATTCACTTATTCATTCAAATAGTTGAGAACCTACCATGTACTAAAACCTGGAAGTGAGTCTCAACTCCACCTGCTCTCTTACCTTCAGCAGATGATTGGCCCTAAAACAAGTCCTGCCAGTTCTATACTTTCAAGTCTATCCCTTTTGTTCCCTTCTTTTTGAGACTGCTATTTTTGAAATGAGTTTAGATGAGCCACTGTCTATTACACGACTGTCTGACTAGTGCTGTCCAATGGTACTTTCTGCAGTGAGGAAAATGCTCTGTATCTGTGCTGTCCAATACAGTAGCCATTACCTACATGAGGCCACTGAGCAGTTGAAATGTGAATGTTATAACTGGAGAGCTAATTTTTTAAAATTTTATTTTGTTTAATTTAATATTATTTTAATTAATTTAAATTTAAAATCAAATAGTCATATACTAAACAGTGCAACTGGAGGCCACTGCTTTCCAGAAATAGTGTGCCCTGGCAGCCCTCCTGGAGAGAAAGCACAGCTCCGGGGGCATCATCAAAAGCATGAAATATCCTTAAAACCTCCTGTTTACTTCACAATATGCCAATATCGGTCTTCAAGTAAGAATATTTTCTTTTGCATATTTGCATAAAATGTGGAAGGTATTTCATACTTATTCTGTGTTGTCCTGGTTTGAGGAGCACAGGCTTCAGTGATGGTTCCCCGCACAGTCTCCTCTCCAATTCAGCTCATCTTCAGGAGAATCAAGAGAGTAATTTTCTAAACCACAGAGCTATCATGTCACTAATAATTATAAAATTGAATAATGATGTATATAATTATATATGATATAGTAATTATTATTGTTGTTATTAGAGCAGAATTATGATGTGAATTCTATGTGCCAGACATTATACTAAGTTTTTTATATCTTATTTATTCTTGTTTACAGAATTATTACCATATTTACAGCTAAGAAAACTAAGTTTTGGGGAGAATAAGTCACTTATCCAGGCTCACAAAGGTCATCAAGTTTGTGGCCAGAATTTCAATCCAGAGAAATTTTAGGACTTATAGGGTCATTTCCCACATTCCCTCTTTAAACACCACAGAGGATTTCTGCTGCTTACTAGGACAAATACAAAATCTTCATTGGTAGTTAAGGTTGTTCAGTGGATCTATCTTATCCCCAGTGCCTCGTTCCCCCGAGTCCTGCACATGCTCTGCACAATTTCGTCTGGCCACATCATATGCTTCTGCATTCCCCAAAGACCCTGGTGGCTTTCATGCTCCTGTGCCTCTTCATACCACCCTGTATGTGTCTCTCCCACAGCACTTGCCACATGTTTACATATGTCTCCCCAACTGAACAGCAAATTCCTCAAGAGTAGGAGCCATGTCTCACCCATATTTGAAGCCCTTGAGCCTAACATTTAGTAAGCACTCAAGTAAGTAATGCTTGTAGAAGTTGAATTCTGCTGTTTTACTTTGCTCATGTTATTCCCTGTATGTGGCAAACATCCAACTCTGATATTCAGTATTGTCTGTCTTTTCCCTGGATCCTCTCCCTTTCAGGTGGAGTTGGTAGATGCATATACTTAACCTGTAACGGGCAGTTTTATATTTAGTTGTAACAGTGTTATGAGCTCTGCAAAGGTAGGAGCGACATTTGTATGTATTTTTTTCATCTTTTTTATCCCAGTGGCTAATACAGCATCTGGCTGATAGTAGGAGTTCAGCTAGATCTATGAGTCTAAATATAGCGCCAGTTTGACTAGACCTCATGGACGCCCTTCCTTCCCTTACCATCCTCCTCTTAGTAATTCATTTTATGTAATCCCCTCTATCAGGGCAAAGTACAGAGGTGTACTTTTAATCACCGGTTTGTGTTATTTTTGTTATCTCCAGCAAGAAGTTACAGAAAAAAGATAAAATTATTGCTTGATAATCATTTAGATGGTGTTTTAAGTTCTCTTACTCTCTCTTTTAACTAAGAAAAATGTTATTTATAGTCCTGACAACAAACTTACCAAGTTGTACAGCACAATGCTTAGTACATAGCATGAGATGATACATGGTGAATGAATGGATGAATGAATGAATGGCATTTTTAAGTTAAACTTTCCTGGCACGGTTATGTCAATGTAAGGAACAGAGAAAGGCCATAACTTGATTGGGACAAACCTGGGCCAAGTGCTCAGTTAAAGAGCGTGGTAGGTAGAATCCTAAGGTTGCAGACTCTGGTGTACACACCTTCCTCTGGAGTGGATGGGATAGTGAATACGACGGATGTTACTCCTGTGATTATGTAACTAATCAGTTGTCTTTGAATAAATGAAAAGGGAGATTCAGGTAAAGCCTTAAAATGGGGTTTCTGCTGCTGGCCTTCAGGAAGAAAGCAAGCAGCCAGGTTGTGAACTGCCTGTGGAGAAGGGCAGCCTCTGGGAACTGAGGCGTGATTATGTAACTAATCAGTTGTCTTTGAATAAATGAAAAGGGAGATTCAGGTAAAGCCTTAAAATGGGGTTTCTGCTGCTGGCCTTCAGGGAGAAAGCAAGCAGCCAGGTTGTGAACTGCCTGTGGAGAAGGGCAGCCTCTGGGAACTGAGGCCCTCTATCCATAATTACAAGGAACTGACTCCTGCCAACAACCAGAGGGAGCTTGAAAGAGGACCCTGAGCCTCAGATGAGATCAGGGCCTCAGCTGATACCTTGACTACAGCTTTGTTGAGATTAGAGCAGAGGATCCAGCTGAGCTGTGCCCAGACCCCTGACCAACAGAAACTGTGAGATAATAGACTTGTGTTGTTTTAAGCTGCTCGATTTGTGGTAATCTGCTACATAGCAATAGAAAGCTAATACAAGGAGTGTTGGACAACAAAGTAGTAACATTCGATTCTACATACCTATTAGATTACAAAGACTAATCCCATTACTAATTCGAGTCCTCTTTGTATTTTCTTTGTCTTCCATGAAATCTTTTTTTGATGAGGGCCTGCCCATCAGATGCATGGTTTCAGTGGCACGTGAATACCGGCACTGAGGATGTCTTTCTTACTAAGGTTTGCTTAGCTTTCTCTACCAATTATAGTTAGTGACACTGGAGATGATGATGTAAATTCCCCAATCAGAAAGTCTGGGTAAACATTTATTTTTGAGCTGGGAAAGCCATTTGGTCAGCCTTGGGCTGGACTTTAGGATTATGTTCTTTCACTGATAATAAATATACCCTAAAATAAAACGATAATAACAATGACAATAGGTTACTTGTTTTAGTTTTGAATCTTGGCTCAGAGGCAATGATTCAAAGGTTGCAAACAAAGCAAGAAAGAGACCTTGTCTTAAAGTGATTGTCCTTCTGCTGCCAGCTGGACCACTCCAAGTAAAGGCTGGTGGAAGTGAAAGGAACTGTGTAGTAGCTTTGTGTCTTTTAGAGTCTGACCTTCAATGGGGCACAGTAGAATTACTGCGAGAAGAAATCCAATGAGACAATGATTCTGCTCCTCCCTTCTCTCTGATTTCTTTCTTGAAAAGAGCCCAATCTGGACCCAACTTTTCTTTTTTTTAGTATCTGCCAACATAAATACCAACTCCAGCATTTTAACTAGGGGAGTTACCATGGAGATGTAAGCAACACATGCAGAGTGGTGGCGGTTGTAGCACAGAGGAAGGACCCAGACAGAGGCCACCAGTCACTTGTACTTTGTGCCGTGCGGAACAGGCTGCGTTAAAGAAGGCAGGCTGGCAGCAGGCCACGGGGCTAGGGAGATGCTCAGAGGGTCTGGCTTTAGGGGGATTTTGCCTACTCCTGCTCCACTCCTATGCCCAGCTAGGAAAAACTATCTGCATTTTCACTTTCTCTTGACTTACTCTATAGAATTCTATTGGCCCAGATATACATTTTGCTAGCTGGCATTTTCATTTCATATTCCATGCAACCTAAAGCACATTGAATAAAAGGGAGTGCAGGAGAAGATGCCAGGAAGTTTTAAAGAGATCCATGGACTGTAAATGACCACAATTGTGAAGAGAGAGAAAAATGCAGGAGGGAGAGATGAATAATACATGATTTCAGTGGTGAAAAAATTCTAGAGGAGCAGTGAATCTTTCTGTCTGATTGAAAAGGGGCAAAAGTATAGATTGTGAAATGGTATACTAACCCTGATGTATCTAATAATAAAATCATAAATTCTAATTATAAAATCTAATAATAAAAATCATAGATTGCAATTATTTTCAGATATTGAAATGATAAATGTTGATATCTAAATTCATAGGAGATGACTTATTTAAGATGAATTGTATATCACAAGGCATACCTACACTTGGAAAACGTATTTGCTACATCAATTATTAAAATATTCTTCTAGAGTAGATGAAAGATATCACTATCACCGAATTCATAGGAGATGACTTATTTAAGATGAATTGTATATCACAAGGCATACCTACACTTGGAAAATGTATTTGCTACATCAATTATTAAAATATTCTTCTAGAGTAGATGAAAGATATCACTATCACCATCTTATAGGCAGGATAACAGAAGCAAAAGGAATCAAAGGCATTCACAGAAATCCACTGGTCTAGAGAGTAGGGGAACAAAGAACTGATCACTTGTTCTCCATTCTCTGTTCTCTGTTCTTGTTTTTTTTTAAAGAACCTTCCTATCCATGGTTTCTTCAACTGAATGTTTCGAACTCACAAGTAAGGTCATAGGCAACAATGCCAGATAGAAAACATCAAACAAGTGGTGCCTATATCAGACCACCTCTTTGCTCCTTTACGCCCAAAGTACCATGTCTCATTCATCTTTGTATTCCTAAAACTCAGCCCAGAGTGTGGCACATGGTGATCTCTACTTACAAGGACCACCTCTTTGCTCCTTTACGCCCAAAGTACCATGTCTTATTCATCTTTGTATTCCTAAAACTCAGCCCAGAGTGTGGCACATGGTGATCTCTACTTACAAATATTTGTTAAACTGAACTGAGTGCACTCTCTGCCTATCTATAGTATGGAACAGATCCCAACTTTCAAACAAATGCAACTGACTTTCTTGGAGAAATTGCTTCCCTACAGCATGCTAGTAACATGGTTCTGGGCTCATAGTTAGGAGATAACACCCATAAGAGAGGTACCCAGGGCTATGAAAACAAAAACCCCTGCCTTTTCTAGGGTGACTGTAGCTAAGTCATCCTTGCTACTCACCCAGAGTGAGTAACTTCAGGTATATAAATTGTCCCCTCCAACCACATATTTTCCAGACACTGGAAAACCAATGGCCTATCTAGTCTTGCAGCTCTCCTTCACCAGACCTAAGAACCATCCTCAGGCTACTGTTGGGCTCAGCATTTAATGGGGTGCAACTGGAGCCTTTAGAGAGGGCCAGCCTGTGGACTCCAACCCTGGATCAGTGATGCTCCGAGATGCCAGGACAGCCCTGTGGTGACTCACCGCGCATCCAGAAACCGGGAGCGCAGGATCATGACGGCCTCACACGTGCTCTGCTTGAGCTGCATCTGGATAGAGCTGAACTTGCGGTGGATGATGCTGACCATCCGCTCGATCTCCTTCGGGGAGATGGGCCTGGTCCGGCTTTGCTCTCGCAGGAGATTCATCACATGTGTGGTAAACTCGTTGCATGCCTGAAATGGCAGAACAATAAACACAGGGGTCATTGAGGGTCCACCCTCAGCAGCACACATCAGGCCCATGACATGAAGCTGGGTGAGCTTTTCTAGACACTTGTACAAACAAAGAAAACTAGGATAGTTTGTGATATTTTGTCACAGTAGAGGAACAGAATAAATGACTACCTGGAAATCCCTTTCAGCCCCTGTGTGTCTATGTTTTGGTGATGATATCAATTTTTTTAAAGGAAAAGAAAATTCTTAATTATTTTTCTCTTACTCATTTTCTTTTCATAATTTTACTGCAGCTAAAGCCAAAACATGAATCGTAGTAGAAAGCACACGTTACCACCCTTTGCCCCAAAGTTTATAGCCAAAGAGGGCTTGGGGTCAAATATATCATGAGTTTTCTGTCTTGCTCATTACCTCTGATATAGCAGAGCTTCCAACTATTTAATTTTGGGATGCATACACAGCCAAAAGAGTTTAAGTGGAATCATGAGATTAAAAGCCTGGATAACTCATCCAAGAGATTTCTCATCGATCTATTTCTATTTATAGTTTTATTAGAAGAACCCCTCGTGAACTGACCTTCTGGAGATCCACTATGTCTATAACACTAAGGGAATCTGTTCCAAGGGGCCTTATAGAAACGGTATCAAAACATGATTTAGAGGATTCAGGAACTATCCCTGCAGGAATAAAAACCCACAGGTTACAGACTAACATACCATCAACTCTGGAAGTGAAATTGGAGATTATATTTCCCCACTTTCTCAGAGAGGTAAAGAGAGTTTTCCAAAGGCACACAGCAAAAAAGAAGAGGCAGAGGCAGGGCCTGAATACTTCACATCCCTTTCATATTCTTTCATATTCCTTCTGTCCTTTCCCAAAGCCTATACTTGCTCATCTAAAAACCCGTGCCCTCTCTTTTAGTTACTATGACATTACTTAGCACCCATAGTCTGTCTGGTTTCCTTTGGTGAGCTTTCAATAAAATGTCTATTCACAGATTAACTCACAGCAATGCTATAAAATTGTATTAGATCTGTAATGAAAAAGGCAAGGTGACGCTTTGAGAGTTGAAGAACTAAGGACTCAAAGGGGCCTCAATTTAACATTAATAGCAGAAACACGCTCATTGTTGGTAACGTTGCATTGCTGTTGTTTTTACAGCACAAAGCCCTTCATATGTGTCAATAATGCAGTAACAACAACAGTAACATATCTACTGATTATTTATCTGAGAAACCCTTTGAGGTTGGTTGGCCTTTGAGGTTCACGGGCAGATGCTTCGACTAGGCTGGGTCTAAACTGAGGAGTGGGAGGCCTGGTTGTCAACCCTGCCTCCATGAATATTTGGGCAAATCCTTTCACTACTCAGTACCTCATTTTATTCACATAAGAGTGGGTTTAATTACTGCTAACCCTTTAGCAAGGCTAGCAGTACCCATGCTCTTGTGCAGTGGCCTGCAGATGGAGGAAGTCACCCACGTGAACACAGAAGGGCAGGCTGAGTAAGAGCACAGACTGCCCAGTTCAGATCCTGCCGCTGGGACTCACCTAGCTGTGGGATCTTAGAAAGTGATTTAACATATCTGTTCCTCGTTTTCCTTATTTGTGAGATGGGGATGACAATACCCACCTCATAGGGTGCAGTAAGGATCAAATCATTTACCATAGGTGTGCCTGGCCCTACAAATGTGTGTCAGAATTACCTTTTCAAAATACATAACTTAGAAGTGCTGGCTGGTTAGCTTGCTTGGTTAGAGCATGGTGCTGGTAACACCAATGTCAAGGGTTTGGGGGTCCCTTTATTGGCCAGATGCCCCCAAAAAATGCATATATATAAAACACTTACAAATCCAACATATTATCACGATTGGGTAAATTTCTTTTCAAAATACATAACTTAGAAGTGCTGGCTGGTTAGCTTGCTTGGTTAGAGCATGGTGCTGGTAACACCAATGTCAAGGGTTTGGGTCCCTTTATTGGCCAGATGCCCCCCAAAAATGCATATATATAAAACACTTACAAATCCAACATATTATCACGATTGGGTAAATTTCTCCTTTTTCTTCTTGGTCAAAATAAAGGTGGTAATAAATACCTGCTTTCTACTCTGCAGGTATAGGCTGAAGACAAATCCATAGAAGATCAGGTCCACATGGCATTTTACTCTCCACTTAGAAAAGTGCTATATAAACCCAAAATCTATATTATAAGTTTATTCCCTATCCTACATCAGCCCCTGGAATGTATAACAAAGAGAGGGAAATAAAATCTGGTAGTGAGCTGGCTGAAATTCCGAGGCCGCAGGATGGAGAAACGAGGGTTCGGCACATAGCAGGCATCCCAGTCATCTTTCTAGGGCGACGCAACATGCTGCTGGCCTATAGGCCCCCCACTTTTTTGAGATCAAAGTAAGGAGGGATTGGATGTAAGGAGGTATTGCCAAGCACACCAGCTCTCAGCTGGGAAGCCATAGTGCTAGGCTAATAATCATGTGCTTCATTATGGTGAATAAAAATACAATATCTGATGTCTGTTCAGGGCATTTTATCTCAGGGCCCTTTCTGCTCTGCAATAAACAGACAGTGGAATCATTTCACCCACTGCTGAGGTGGAGCAAAGCAGCTACTAAATAGCTGCTCAGGAAAACCCAACAGAGTGGAGAAGAATTTCAAGTCCATTTTAGACGGACAGAACACAACGATCTAGATTTGTCCAGAACTGAACCACCCACACCATTCTCTCAGTTCAAAAGCAGCTACTAAATAGCTGCTCAGGAAAACCCAACAGAGTGGAGAAGAATTTCAAGTCCATTTTAGATGGACAGAACACAACGATCTAGATTTGTCCAGAACTGAACCACCCACACCATTCTCTCAGTTCTCCTAAGCTTTCCACCTTCAGAAGCTGGGCTGCTTCCATTTGGTAAGGCATTCACAATGCAACGATAACATGAATATTTGGGGTTATAATAATTAATTAATAGGAATCCTAATAGGCCGAAGTTTTCTGTGACAGAGGAGACTGCTATAGACTGTCATAAGGAGAGTCACTTTCTAGAACTCAAGCTTCCCTCATAGGGCAGAGGGATTTCTAAAAGGAGACTTCCCAGTTTCCAGGACAAGGGTGTTTCTGGGAGCAGCAGACTACAGCTGACAGCCTGCCCTCTACACAACCGGTTTTCTTGCTTTACTCCTGAAAATTGGATTTGGCTTCCAATCTCATCCATGAAAGTAACTGGGATCTTAGGGCTCTCTCAGCTATGTGCTGAATTAACTCAGCCCAGTCAAGCATTTGAGATTTTCTCCTATCAATGCCCCCATAGCATTATTTACAAAGCTAAAGAACTCTGCAATGCTACAAGGGTTCATTTTTTAAAAAATAGTATTTGGAATAAAATTCAGGTTTTTGACATCATGGTTTTATCTATTAGAACATGCCAGCTCTTAAATATCTCAGCTACCAACATGATCTGCTGGAGTGTTTTACCAATCCCACTTAATGATTAAAACAATTTTCTTCCTTTCTTGCTAATGAAAGTCTTTAGAAGCCTTCTTTATTGAATAACCTCAGGGTGAAACAACGGCTGATTCAGGTAGCTTTTCTCGAAGGGGTGGAGACAAGGCAAGCTATGTTAGCTAATTATTGTGTGAATATCTGCCACCACCGTCCCCAAAATAAAACAAAACAAACAAAACTACAGAACCAACTATTAAATAATCAATCTGGTAATTTCATATAGGTACTACTAAAATAGAGAGTGACATTTTACTTGACCAAGGCTTTTTTTTAAAAAAAGCCCCCACGAGGAATTGTTACAGAAAAATGAAGAAGATATGTCTCTCAGACACACTAGCTAGAAGGTTAATAGCATAATTTCCCTACAATCTACTATTTACTATAATTAACAACGCAATTAATATTAATAAATTATTAAGCATCCAGAGTGTGTTAAGCAGTATTCCCATCTTAGCCAGAAAATGCCCATATAAATAAGAAAATGATCTTTTAATACTTTTTAAAAATCATAAATACAACTGAGTACTATTACCACACTTAGATAATTTGCTCTGTACTGATGGAGTTTTCCCTTAAGTTCCTAAATTCTGACATTTTTGTTATTTAGAATAGATAGGTACCCTTGAGAAGTCTCTGAAGAGGTACCAGCAATCTAGTCTAGGGAAGTAACAGAGAGGATGTGCTGCTTACCTCAATGTCTACAGACAAGTACACTCTCTTCTTATTTAGCAGAATCAGGCATTATTCTAAAAAGAGCAATTAGGCTAAGGGTCAAAACTGGATTCTAGGGCAAACTCTGTCCCTCATCAGAGGAGTGACCTCAGTTACACCTTAACCTCTTTGATCTCTATTTCCACACCTGAATCAAAATGGAGATGATGACAGCACTTGTCCTGGGTCCCCAGCCATGAACTTGCCTCGAGGAGCAAGCACAATGATGTTGGCCGAAGTGTTCTTCTGTATCTGGTGACATACTACTGAAATGTACTATTGCAGTCAGAGTTTTCACTCATTCTGGGTAAGAATGAAGGAGTGACAAGGGGGGTTAAACCAAGAAAACAGTCAGATCTTCTATGTTGCTGGCAACCTGAGCTACAAGTAAAGCCAGTTTTCATTACCTTCCAACCTAACATTCACTCCACTTAAGGGATTAGCAGGGAAGCCGCACTCTGGGGTCTTCTTGTGCCCTTGGTGTTTGGCATGAGTTACCCTGGATGACAGGTCTAGACAGGTTGCTATGCCACGGCCAGGCTTACTGGTGAAGGTGGGGTAGGAATAGCACTGAACAGAAGAACCCAAGAGGCCAGTGAGGGGTCTTTACGGGAAATGTCCCCCCACCTGTCTTCCCAAGTTATCCCTTTAGATCAGGGCAGACCCCAAATTCTAACAGGACATTCCAGGTGGGGAAAACTGTCACAGTTTAGCCAGCTCTCTGAGCTCAGCCTCTCCTGGGAGCTGGGGAAATGTCTGCATGAGCCAACGCTGTGGCAAGAACATTTGTTCTCTCCCAAGAAGGTGGAAGACGAGACAGTGACTCACGGCTTCTTACCCCAGCCTGCTTTTATTTTCCTCCCCTTCAACCCTCCCTGCGCTCTGTCTGAAGCTTGGCTTCAAGCTTCACAGCAATTCCTTTTTTCCAAGTGAAAGAGAGGACTTTGTATAAATCCATTTCAAAGAGAGATAAGAGTGTAATAATGAAACTTTCTTCACTTTAAATTTTAAAATGCCTATTTCTGTTTTAAAATTTAAATTTTCTATTAAGTTTGCATTTGCCTTCTACCTAAGATAGTCATAAGTGGACTGCAGAGTCTTCTACCTTTTGCTTTTTCTCTCCCTTCTTTTTTGACTCAAAAAAAAAAAAGACAGACAGAAAGAAAGAAAATTTAAAATAAAACCTAATAATTTAATGAAAGTAAGTAAATACAGAACTTCAGTACAGTGTTGCATCCAAAGAGGTGATCACAAACATATTTATCAGCCAATTCATGGGAGAAAAAGCTAGAGGACTCCTAGTAAAGTAGTATTGCTCCTCCTGACCAGAGGAAAGAGTGTGGATGCACAAATTTGGGGGGTGGGGAGAAGGAGGGTGTGTCTCTAATAGAAATAATTAGGATACCTTACACTTATACACTGCTTTGTAATTTAAAGCCTTTCTCATCCTTTCCTTCTAATGATTTTTATGGTCCTTCATATCCTTGATTCCAAACGCGCAGCCCTTCGCCTGCAATACACCATCAGCTTCCTGGGCAGAGGATGCCAAGGGTCTCCCAGAGCGTCAGGGGTGTGCCAGGTAGGATCCAAGTTTGTCTGACTCCAGGAGTCTCTTGAGACCCTCTACTCTTTTTAGAGAAGGGGTGTATCATATTGCAGATCATATATTACATAAAAAGGGGAATATGTTTGACTCTCAGTTGGACTGAGTCTGGGTAGACCGAGGGACATTAAGGCCAAATTTTAATATCCCTTCCCATAGGATTTCATGGAAATCCAGAAAAAAAGTCATTCTCCAAAATAAGGGACAAACAAGGGCCAGAGGAAACTCCAACCTCCCTGAAGGTTAGGCGGTGACTGTGCTAATGACCTCGACCACCCTGAGGAGCCCGCGTGCTGCACGTGGAGGGTAAATGTCTCAGAGTTCCAGCTGGTGAGCGCTGCTTGTACTGACTATGTTTCTTGAAATCATCACTCACCACTTGACACATTCTAAAAAATGCTTTTTATCTCCATTTAATGCCTAGGTTTTCAATAGGTGAGACCAGGACTCGGTGGACTCAAGGGTGGCCAGGGGCTCTGTGCTTAGAAGAAATGGATGCAGAAATGCCACCGGCTGCGAAAGGGGCATGCATGGCTCGGCCTCTGCAAGCCCCGAGCCTGGTGTTTCCTCCACCCTTTCTTAAAGGGCCCGGGTGCCCGAGGCCCCCCGACGGCTGTGGTTACCTGCTCGTATTTCTCCAGCTCCGTATGGTAGATTTGTCTGATCTGGGAGAGTTTGGCTCTGTAATCCGAATGCTCCACTGAGTTGTCGGAGCCGGCGCCCCCCGACGCCGCCGCTGCCGCCGCGGCCGCCGCCGAACCTCCGCCCTTCTCGGGCCCCGCCACGCCCTCCGCTAGCAGCATGTTGTCCAGGCGCATCAGCTGCGGGTCGGTGGGCTCCTCCTCCTGGGCTCCCCGGATACTCAAAACTGCAGGAAAAGACAAAGACAGGGGATGATAATAGTAACCCAAGGGAGAAGAGAGAGAGGGAAAAAAAAAAAAGTATCATTTGGCTAAACAAGTCTCCAAATTACTTGCACTATGGCATCTGAGCAATGAAGGAAGGGCTGGAAAAAGAGAGAAACTCAGAGGGTGACAAAACGGAAGGTGAGACTTGCTTGGTTCCACAAGTTAATTTTACTCCACTTACATGCAATACCTAGAATAATCAAATGTGTAGAGGCAGAAGGTAGAAGAGTGGGCACCAGGGCTGGGGGGAGGGGACAGGGGGCAGTTGTTGTTTCATGGGGTGCAGAGTTTCATTTTGGGAAGATGAAAGAGTTCTTGAGATAGATAATGGTGATGGTTGCACACAAATGGGGATGTAGTTAGTGCCACTGAACTGCGGATGACAGGTCTAGACAGGTTGCTATGCCACGGCCAGGCTTACTGGTGAAGGTGGGGTAGGAATAGCACTGAACAGAAGAACCCAAGAGGCCAGTGAGGGGTCTTTACGGGAAATGTCCCCCCACCTGTCTTCCCAAGTTATCCCTTTAGATCAGGGCAGAC